TCAAATGTATCACAGACCACTTTAAATGCATTGTCATTTGCAGAAATTTCACTATCTAGAATATATGGATGCATCACATTTGTGTCAAGAGAATTTCACCATTAGATGCATAAACTTTGATTATGAGAATGCACAAAAATAGAATGCATTAGTTTTTACTTTAATTGTGAGAATGCATTGCAATCTCATGAAAAGGCATTATTTTGACTCTCATAATGCACAATAACAAAAAATAAACAAAAAGTAAAAAAAAAGGAAAAAAAGTCAAACTATACAAGGCAATCAGTAATCATCCATTTTAAATGGAAAAAGAAAATATGTAAAATCACTATAAATGAATAGCAAGAAATCCGGAAGTGATTTGCGTGAATGGAAGTAGTTTCAGAGCTATTCTTGCAGAAGGGGACTCACTCAAGAAAGAACGGAAGTTTGTGAAAGTACAAATTTGTCCATATCGGTATATTTGGGTGGCGCAGATCAAAAATAAAATTTGCAAAGATCCATGGGTGCATATTCATTCTTAATTCTTTCATTAGATGACGTTCTCATTTGAACCCAATTATGGGGTTGGTTCCTGTGAGAATGACTCTTAATGAAAGAAATGAGAATAAATAATACACGTTGATATTGTAGATCTAAGGGCCTTAATTTCATCTAAAAAGTGGCGCCATTCACTAATAAATATGGTAAATAATTACTCATGCCCTTTAATTTAGGAACGAAATAGTAGAGAGGGGTATTATAGTAAGTTTTATACGTATAAGAGAATGGTAAACATTAAATTCCATTACTTCTGCCGTTATTACCATAGAATATTCATACGTGTCATATTAATCATTTCTTTTTTTAAATAATGCACATAATTAATATGGAGTAGTTATCTTATTAGAGCAACTCCAATGGTAGGGGTATATGAAAGAGTAAAGAGGAATACTTATGATATATATACCTCTTTTCATTAAAAATCATCTTTCAATGGGAGAGGTAAATAAAGTGGCATTATACCTTCTTCAATTTTGAAGAGGTATCTTTACCTTCTTCATTTGGGGAGGTATATCAACTTTTCCTACATTTTAAATTTATTTCATCAATTACTTTAGTTATTGTATTTTTGCTTGAATGTATTATTATATATTTTTAATTTGTATCTTTGTAATTGTAAAACTTAATGAGTCAAGAATTAACAAAAAAAAAGGATACTTTGTTTTTTTAATTTTGCACTCTGTATTTTTAAGTTTTTTTTATTCGGGTATTTATAAGTTTGTGCAATTGGACATAATGTATATTTAATTATTTCAAAACTGACATTCTAATTTTTTTCCCAATAAATTAGTTGTATTTTTATAAAATCTTTAAATTAAAAAATTTAATCAAGAAGAAACAAAGGCAACAAACCTCAAATTTACCTCCCCATGATTTTTTTAAGAATGTATATTTTCTTTTCTAATAATTAAAATTTGATTTAAGAAGGTAAATCAACTAATTTTTTCCCAATAATGTATGGAGATGGATTTATCCCTCTTTTGCCTTTTGATTTACCTTCCTCCATTGGAGTTGCATACTTTTAATTTTGAAAATGTAAACTTGATCACTTGGAGAGGTAAATGAGATATATACCTCTCCAAGATACCTCCCACCATTGGAGTTGCTCTTAGTGATTTCTCTTTTTTTATTTTCTGTTTTTTTCAATAATGAATAATTTTTACTATTGAACTCTTTGTAACATTTTATTTTTTTGCTTCATTTTATAGCATTTCTCACGGTGCTATTGTATTTGCTTCATTTTAAAGCAAATACAATTTAGTCTACAATTTCTCTTTCTTCTAAATACTATTCTACCACCTTTTTTACTCTTCCTCACTTTAACATTTTTTATGATTTATCACGCAATTATGGTGCAGTTGACAATGATTTTAGTTACTTACAGTAAATCAATGACATTTCGTCACGTTATAATTTCTTTTATCTTTATGCACTATTCTCATATATAGCTGCAACGTAACACGTATTGTAAATTATGCATGCACTATGATAACTGATATATTCATTGTAATTTGTCCTTTATATTTTATTTATAATTATATTTATTCTATTAATTTGTAGATTAGTGAATAATAACTGTATATGATGAAAAAGCTTGAGACTGCGTTGTACTCAGAACAAATGTAATACAAATTAAATTTGAAAAATAATTTGCTTATGTAGGATTCAAACTCACATTTGTAGTGCATAACGCTCTACCATTTAAGCTAATAGGCAATCATTTATTTTATCAAAGAGACTTTCATCTTGCACTTGGACCTTCTACATACACATTTTAATCTTTAAAATTTGCATCACTCAATGTGTTTCAAAGCCATATTCAAATGCATCAGAAAACATGTTAAATGCATAATCGTTTACAAAAAAATCACTATCTAGAAAATATAGATGCATCATATTTGTATCGGGATACAACAACTTTGTTTATTAGAATGCACAGTAACACAATGCATTATCCTTCAGCTTGATTTTGAGAATGCATTGCCTCCTTATGTAAATGCATTACAGTGATTCTGATAATGCACAATATCAAAAAAAAACAAATAATTTAGGAGGGGTAGGAAGAATCAATTGTGGGTGAGTGCATGGGGGGCAAGGGTGAGTGTGGGCAGGAGCGAGAAAACATGGGAGAAATGTATAGAGGGTGGTTAGGAGGGGTAGAAATAATCAATTTTATAATCGGAGCACCGTTAATTGAACCAGTATCACGAAGTGGTGTAATTTTTGTTGGTGTAACATTACGCCTCCATATATATATACTCCATATAGAACACTGACAAAATGCATTATATTGACTATTAGAATGCATTATATTGAGTTGTTGTAATGAAAAAATGCATTATTTTAATGTTTTTAAATAGACAATTTGATATAGAAGAATCAAATAAGTAGTATCAAAATAACAAAATAGGAGTATCAAACAACGTGATTTGATTCAACAAAAAAACCAACTATTAAAGGTTTTAAATGCCAAAATAAATTAAAGAATAATTGGACGGATTTGGAAATAACACCCTTTCTAAAGTACAAAAATCTAACCGCCATGGAATTGATTGGATAAACAAGGAGATTTCAATACGGCACATGTCTTCCTCTATGAGAAGATGGAGAAGTTTTTTCTGATTGGTAAACCTAATCCACCATACAATCATTAAGCCGCACATTTTGGATCTCATGAGCAAATTTTTCCGAAAGTTTCGGAAATAAACTGAAGAGCATCGATACCAATTTGAGAGAGATACGATTGCAATGTGAAAATCCAAAAAAGCCCACGCGAGGTAACGGGTGCCAACATCACATCTAACGGTGAGGAAACATTCTTATTTCTTTCATTAGATGTCATTCTCACATGAACCAATATATATATATATATATATATATATATATATATATATATATAGATTTTGGTTCAGGTGAGAATGCGATCTTATGAAAGAAATAAGAATGAATCTGGTGCTTTAGATTGTGAGATCTAAGGGTTAGGTTGCATCAAAATTAGTTGCATCAAAATGGTCTAAATATGCATCATGTCGAAAGACACCAAAAACCTTTGAAAATGCACTATATCAAAATCTGAGCGCAGGATGCAATCTGAGCCGCACGATGCATCAGATCCAAAGGCTAGATTTTATTCTTATTTTTTTCACCAAGGTGCATTCTCACTTGATCCAGCCCATATATATATATATATATATATATATATATATATATAATATATATATATATATATATATATATATATATATATATATATATATATATATATATATATAGAGTTTAGTTCCGGTGAGAATACGATCTTATGAAAGAAATAAGAATGCTTAACCACAGTTAGATTTGATCGATCAGGGAGTACGCACATGTTTTATGTCAAGGGCTTTTTGGGTTTTTTATATTTCTATCAAATCTAACGCTGATTTTGTTCAATCCTTTCCAAATTGGCTCCACAAAATTTGCCCAGGATTCATTTCACTATCGTCAATAATGGAGATTTGATGATTCAACCATGTATCTATTATCCGAGTGTGATAACCATCTCTCTCCAATTCTCGATTCACAAAAAGTGTTCATTGATAACATCGCTGATGGATAGTACGGAGTACTGTAATTTATAATTAGGTAAATTCTCAAATACCACTTCAATTTTCTTACTCTATAGATTTAGATGTGATTTTATCTACAATATTGTTTATCTAGACTGCCGTGAGGCTTGTTCTTCCCTATGAATTGGCTAAACACATCGTGTTTGAGGGAAACAAGGTTGTGATAAAGTTTACCCTCTCTTGAATCAATTGATCTGTTTTTAATCTAGGGTTTATCAATCTGGGAGTAAAAATGTCTAATAGGCTGATTAGTTGTAATTACTTTGGTATTATGTGATTATCACATGCTTCATTTTATCTATCAATGGGATCCCATTCTGTTTTTACTCCATTTTAACTACATTCAAATGAGTTTTGTTAAAAAAATATTATTTATCTATACTATTAATTTTTAGTTTGACAGTATTCAATGAAGGCATGCATTTTTGTCAATGCTTAGAAATCTGAAAGCACATATGTTGCAAAATGGTGTCTGAAAAATTGATATCATAGCAATAAAAAATGTGATAAGTTCTATATAGACTCTTTCAATATGATTTTGTAAAATTTTTAGTGCATTATAAAGACTTTGTAGTGCATATGTCGTAAACTCTTATTCGATTTGAAAAGAATGATAAGTATTTAAGTGAACTGTTCATTCTTTGTTAATTGGATATGAACTGAGGTATGATAATAGTTAATGAGTGAAATGTTTCCGCTTCCATTGAATCTTTTTTCAATGTGATTTTTTCTCTTGCATATTTGTTCCTTCACTATTTTTTCTAATGCATCTTTGTTCCCATGGATTTTTTTCTGTTGCATATTGTTATACACCATATGATAGTGCTATACATTCTTTGTTGGTTAATGTTATACCGTGGAGAAAGTTGCCCTGATGATCTCTTAAAACAGCTCCGCCACCGCATCCTCGAGTGCTTGCACTGCCATCCACGTTAAGCTTGAGCTGATAGGGATTTGGAGGGAAACGAATAAGCTTGAATGATGTGAGAGGTTTCCGGTGGATTGAGGTTGGGAGAATGGTTCCTTTGGTTGCAAGTGACCATGCATTGAGTGTATGTTTGATTTCTTCAAGGGTTTTCTCAACTTTAAATTTTTCCTGGTTCAGCCTCACCCGGTTGTAAGTCTTCCACAGCTCCCACATAATAATGGTTTGGATGGTGCGTTTGGCGTGGAAGAGATGATCAGAAGGTGACGTTGAAAGCCACCACATGACTAAGTTGTGTTGGAAGGAGGAGTTGGAGATCCTTGGCAGGTGGAGCCGTTGTCCAAGATTATTCCGGATAATACTTGCTTTGGGACAGAGCATAAGGCAATGGAAATCAGATTCTCTTTCTTGCTCGCAGAACATGCAGATGGATGGGAGGTTGAAGCCCAGTTTTTGGAGGTTATTTGCAAAGGGGGTGGCTTTGTTTAGGGTTTTCCAAAGGAAGAGGTTAGCCTTTGGAATTCCTTTTTTGGGCCAGGGGATTTTTGCAGTAAGCATAGAAGGGCCGGGTTCCTGAAGCTTGAGGGCGACATTTTTTAGGGAAAAGGAGCCCTGGATCCCTAACTCCCAGTAAGGCATGCCATTGATGAAGTTAGAGTTATCTGTGCAGAAATCATCAGCTTGGCATATTCTCTTCCAAGACGGGCTATCAATGATAGTTGAGGTGAAAGAGCCACTCCGGTGGTATCTTTGCCTGATGAAGGAGACCCATGGAGACGAGGTGAACTGATATTTCCACCAGAGTTTGCACCCAAAAGATTGTTGAAGGGTGCGTAGGTTTGGGATATCTAGGCCCCCTTCATCTAGTGGTTTACAAATTTGGTGCCATGCCACCCATGCATGCTTGGACCCTTCAGCATTTTTTCCCCAAAAGAATTGCCGAAGCTTGCCTTCGATCAAGGAGAGGATCGATTCAGGAAGTCTAGAAGAGGACATGGTGTGGAGAGGGAGGGTGGAGAGAAGATGTTTGATGAGTGTAAGTCTTCCTGCTTGGGAGAGGGTGTGCATTTTCCAGCTCGATAGTTTGAGGTCGAATTTCCTGAGGAGGTCCTGGCAGTATTTGGACCTATTGATCCCTTTGTAGAGGGGGACGCCAAGGTAGGTGATGGGAAGGGGAGTTACTTTCATCCCCAGACAGTTTGCTTGTCGTCTAGCGTGGTTGGACGACGGTTTGGGGGAAATAATCTGGCTTTTGGCAAGATTGAGGTGGAGACCTGTTGCTTCCTCAAAGCTGGTAAGAAAACTTCTTAGTTTTTTGAGATTGTGAAGGGATCCATTAGTGAAGATCAAGACATCATCAGCAAAGGTAAGGTGGTTTACCGTTTGGATCCTGCCCGTGTTGTATTTTATAAGGTTGCCTAGGTTATGAAGGTGGTTCAGTGAACGTGTCAGCCCTTCTATGGCGATGATAAAGATGTAGGGTGATAATGGATCTCCTTGTCTAACTCCTCTCTTGGGATTGAAGGCTTTAGAAGAGTTTCCATTGATGAGGATGGAAACAACATTGTATTTGATGGAGTTCATGACCAGGTTTATAAATATTTGAGAGAAGCCAAATTGCCCTAAACACTTTTCGATGTAATTCTAGGAGATGTTGTCAAAGGCTTTAGTAATGTCTAGCTTAAGGGCTAGGTTGCCCCCCTCAGTCTTCTTGTCCAAGATGTGAATGAATTCCCTTGTAAGTAGAATGTGATCTGTGATGTCTATTCCTAGAACGAAGCCTCCTTGCTCGATGGAGATGATGTCAAAAAGTACATTAGTCAGCCTAGAGGCTAGGATTCTAGTGATGATTTTAAAGGAGAAGTTCATGAGGCTGATGGGACGATAATCACTGAAGGATGAAGGATTATCCTTCTTGGGAATGAGGACTGTGCTTGATTTCCTCATCACCTTAGGGGGAATGATTCCAAGGAAGAACTCCTAGACAGCGCTGATTACGTCTTCACTGATTATGTCCCATGATTCTCTAAAGAAGTTACCATTGAATCCATCTGGCCCAGCTGAGCTATTGGGGTCCAAGTGCCAGACAAGATTCTTAATTTCTTCCCTGTTTGGTAAAAGGCAAAGGGACTCATTCTGAGGAGCAGTAATGGTGTGTGGGATGTGATGAAGGATGAGCTCCATATTGTGGGTGGGTTGGGGGCTGAAGAGGTCCTGAAAATAAGAGGTTCTAGCTTCTAGGATTTCTGCCTCATTGGTGACCTGGATTCCTTGGGTGTTGAGGATGGAGTGAATGTGTTGTTTGCGCCATCTAGCCCTGCATGCTGCATGAAAGAAAGAGGTGTTAGCATCACCTTGGGTGATCCACTTAGCATTCGCTTTTTGTTTCCAGAAGGATTCCTCCGTTTGGATACATTAAAGCAAGTGTGCTTTGGATTTCCCCCAGGTGGATCTAGTGTCACTGTTAGGGTTGTCCTCGTACTCCTCCTCTGCTTTTGTGCATTCTTCCTCTGCTAGTTTGACATTGTTGAAGAAGTTGCCATAAGTGTTTTTGCTCCAGTAACTAAGGGATTTTTGTGTGGCTTGAAGTTTCAGGTAAAGTCCATGCATTCCTCTTCCCGTATGGATAGAGTCCCAAGTATTCTTGAGGGTGACTAGGTAGGAGGGATGGGAGGTCCGAAGGTTAAGGAACCGGAAGCTTTTTGGTTTGGTGGAGGCTTGAAAGGTAGCCTTAAAGAGAATGGGGCTATGATCCGAGGTTGTTTTGTTGAGGATGGAATAGTGCACTGTGGAGTAGAGATTATCAGCCATTGGGTTGATGAGGAAGCGGTCAAGTTTCCTCGAAATTATCCCATTGGAGCGTTTCCCAGTCCAGGTGAAGAGAGGTCCTACATGATGTGGTTGAAGTAGATTGCAGTCCATAATACAACGGTTAAAGTCCTCTATGCTTGAGAAACATGGCAAGCTATTCCCCCTATGTTCATCTGGATTTGTGATGGCGTTGAAATCTCCCCTAATGATCCAAGGGAGGGTGTGTGAGGAGAAGTGGGATCGAAGAGAATTCCAAAGTGGCAGGCGCAAAGTTTTAGAATGTAGCCCGTATACTAGGCAGAGCCAAAAGGTAGTGTTGGAGTGGTTGTGGGAGAAAAGGCCATGCAAAACTTGATCTTGTTCATGATGTTGAATGAGGGTATAGTGAGAGGGGTCCCAAAGAAGCCAGGCTTTGTTAGAGAGGCCTTGGAGGTGGCTATTCAGACCAAGTTTGTAGCTAGAGGTGGGGATTTGGATAGGAGAAACCAAGGGTTTGAGGATACCAAAAAGTTTAATGTTATGGCATTGAGTGAGTTGGTGGAGTCTATTGAGAGAGGATGGGATCCCCCTGACATTCCAAATGAGAATATTCATAAGGTAAGGTGAGTGAAGGGAGGTAATGATTGAGAGGCTCTGGCTTGTTGTCTTGTGGTCATATTGGTTTTAGGTGGGAGGTGGGATTTTTTGTTTTTTCGTGAGGTTTTAACTGGTTGGAAGGAAGTAAGATCAATTTGAATGTCCTCCTTTGGGTTTGGAGGAATTTTTGATGCAATGGAGTTGCTGAAGGCTCTAAGATAATGGATAGAGTATGTACTGTGTTTTTGCCTTTGTTTGTGGCAAACCTCTGTGTCAGAATGGTGGGCATAGTCCACAAAGGTTTTTGGGTCTGTGAATATGAGATCACAGTTGGGTGGACGTGGTTCACTGCAAGGGGAGGGAGTAGGGGATAGGTTCTGGAGCAGTGCCTGATCAATGGGGTCTTTTGGAGAAAGAGACAACAGAGTGGTGTTCAATGCTAGAGGGCTTTCTGGTGAGGTGGGTAATGTAGTGAGGGGAGGAGATGGGTTGAGGGGTGGGGTAGGAGAAGTGAGGGGCATTTGGGACGTAGTATTGATGAGGTCATTTGAGGGGGGTTGTGTGTTTGGCATTTGGGTCGAGTGGGAATGTTTTGTGCTTGGTATTGGGATTTGGTCATTAAGGGGTGGGGTAGATGAGGTGAGGGGGTTTTGGGGCGTAGTGTTTGGCTCCTTTGAGGGGGGTTGTGTGTTTGGCATTTGGGTCAATTGGGGCATGGAATGATTTTGGACCTTAGTGAGTGAAGCTTTGCTGGAAGGAACCATACCTGCATTGGTTTGAGGTGTGTCCTGTGATGGTTTTGGAGTCATGTTTTTGGCTTGCTGGCATTCTCCAGCTTTGTGTCCAGTTTTCCTGCAGTCTGTGCAGAATTGGGGGACCTGCTCATAATGCACTAGCTGCCAGAGCCCTTTGTTGCCGTTGTCAAGAAAGAATTTAGTGGGGAGGTCGCCGGAGACATCAAGTTCCACACAGAACCTAGCCACTGAAGGCCTTGACCGAGAGGAGGTTGCTGCATCCAGCATTAGGGGCTTTCCAAATATTTTCGCAATGGCATGAAGAGCAACCGGAGAATGGAGATGGACAGGGAGGTGTTCCAGCGAAATCCAAATGGGGAACATTGGGCTTTCCTCATCACAATGGAAGTTTGGACTCCATTTGAACACATGCATGGGGCATCCCTGGATTTGCCAAAGACGCTTAGAGAAACATCTTTGATAATCCTCTGCATTGCTGAAAGTAAGGAGAATATGAGATGGAGCCAAGACCCCTACTGAGAAGCTATGTTTGAAGCCAATACGTTCCAAAACTTGCTTAATAACTGGGAGAGGAGGCCTGGACTTAGAGAATCGTCCTACTAGTGAGAATTCATAGGGAGCAGAGAGTGTTTTCACCTCTGCCGGAGAGAAGGAGATCGCCGGAAACCCTTTGTATTTGGTAATGGGCCTCGAGCTGATGGAGGCATGGGAGGAAGATGAAGCTCCAATGACATCAACGAAAGAGCGTTTGACGTCGTGCCTTGGTGGAGGAACAGAGGATGATGGTGGTAGGGGAGTGAGACCCTCGGCCCTGATATTGGTGAGGTGTTTGGGCTGGCAGCTGTCGCTGGCAGCGTTGTGGGGAGGGGGGAGTTTGGGAGGAGGAAGGCCATGGCCGTCGCCGGCAGGGAGTGGCGGAGGAGGGAGGGAGGAGAGAGAAGACATTTTATATATATGACAAAAAACTATTTTAAAGTATATTTTATATACTTGTGTTAAAATGTTTTGGGTATTTTATTTTATATCATAAAAATTATTGATCTCAAATAAAATACACTTTAAACATTTGAGATAAGAAGAATTAAATTCTTCCCCCTTTTTCTTTTTCGTACCATGCATGACCTTGAGTGTGTGGGGGCTTTGTCTCCCACTACACTTCATTATGTGTTTGCATTAATCATTTACCAATTGTATTTGTTTATATATTATTCTTTTAATACTCCGTATTATATAACACATGGATTTTTCTTCACTCCATAGTAGTGTTCGGCCAAGTTGAAGAGAAAGAGGGGAAAATGATTTTGAGTTCCAAAACTATTATTTTGGGTGTAGAAAATTGATATAATATTTTCTTTAAAATATTATTGATACATTTTCTACTTTTTAATATACAAGATTAATATTATCCCTCTTAGATCTTTATATTTAATATACTATTATAATCTTTACTAGCATAAAGATTATAGTAGACTCCGGAGATTGTTCGTGTGTCAAATTTGGAGGCCGGACGCTTGAACGGCTACGTTTGCTCCTTCAACACCTTTTACTCGACTTGTCCTTCATACCGCTTTACCGAAGAAGGTATAACTTTCTATCTCTAGCTATAGTTTTAGTACGTGTTCTAGGGCTAGTAATAACTATTGGGAGATTAAATTTTGTATTTCCGCTACCCTCCCAATCGTGGTTACCTTTCAATCGCTGTTGAGCCAAGGTTGGGTTTCCAAAAACATCTGGAACAGCGATGTAGACTTCTCTACATCGATGTCCAACCTAAGACAAAAAAGAAATGCCTTTGGCAGAAAGTTTTTGGACATCGCTATTGACCCGGCAACAGCGATGTCAGGCCATTTTTTCATCCTTCAAAGTCAGGCCTGAACAGCGATGTTCAGGTATTGAACATCAATGTAGGCACCTGATCGTTAGAAGGAATTTATGGCTAAAACTTTCCATGTTTGGAAGTCAACAGCCACAACCGCGATTTAGGCCTTTTGGACATCGCTGTTGACTTGACCGTTGCTTCCTGATTTTCAAAAACTAAGCCTAGAACAGTGATGTCCAAGCAATGGACAGCGCTGTCTGGCTGATTTTCAGCAGATCTAATTTTAATCAAACCCCACAAATTGTGCCAATCACCCCCATTCAACTCCTACCTGTTGGAGCTTATTTTTCTACTATAAAATGGGGTGTTTGGGTCTGCTTTACAGATCACATTACTTCACAACTCTTATTTTTCATTCCATTACATTCATACATTATTCATAGCTTTTCGAGAGCCATTTTTGTGAAGTTCATGTTGTGATCTTGAGCGTATTACTTTACTCATATTCACTCTTTTGAGAGAGCCTTGTTCTTGAGTGTTCTTAGTGTTTATATACGTTAAGGGAATTTTGTTTCCCTTGGTTGTACGAAAGAAAGGTGTTTTCCTTCGGGTTGAAGTCTTGGAGTGCGGTATCTCTGAGCAAGTGTTGTTGAGGCTCGTGGGATTCGAGTTCTCAAGTTGTAACGGTTTGTTAAGCACCCATAAGCTTAACGGAAGTAGTGTAGCTCGAGAGAGTCTCTCGGGAGACTGGATTAGCCACACGTTGTGGTGAACCAGTATAAATCTTGGTGTGCTCCCTTTACTTTTTCTACGCTCTTCACTTTTCACGTTCTTAATTTTTTATTCCTGTGACTTCTACGATCAAACTATATTCACCCCCTCTAGCGTTGGTCATTTATTCTAACATTATTTGCACATGCTTTTATAGACGAAGTTGGTTTTTCAATGCACATTATTTCCTCATCTATAGATTCCTCCTCAGCCTCTTGAGCGTTTGAATCTTGGGCGTAGGTAGTAGGCTCTATTTCCTCAAGAACAGGTTCCTCTAGAGGTGTGTCTTCAACACAATGATGGATGATATATCCCCGGTTACTACAAACGACACTCAAACCCTAAATTAAGTCAATGGAATAATGTCCAAATGTTATGATCCTTTTTGGAATGAATTTTTCATCACAAAACCATTCAAACCAACCTTGATACTCTTGAACCACCCCTCCCCTTGATGGCCGAACCCACACACCCCAAAACAACCCCCAAAAATCCAAAACCAACCCAAAACAATCACCCTTTGTCCCCTCCTTTTTTTGGCCAAACCCACACCCCCAAAGGCACCCCACACTACCATAAAACCACACATTAGAAACCAAAACTAATCCTTCTCCTTTTCCCCTTGAGTTGGCCGAAATAAAGAGCCAAAACCAACCCAATCAATTCCCCCAACATGTACCAGCTGTGGTCCCTTTTTGTCTCCTAACTAGCCTAAATACACAACCACTATAGGCCAGGGATATTTGAGCTAGCTATGACACCTTAACCACCATTTAAAACTCACCATTTGAAGACAAACAAACACCCCACATGTAACGCCCTCAAACTGGCCTAGTTTTAAATAAATAAATATTATTTACTGTATTTATTAAGACTCATTATTTTAAATTAATAAATATTGAGATTTCGATCTCTTTAAATGGCTTTTCAAAGCAAATGTATGTTAATATAAAAAGATGTTTTAATAACGGATCTCTAAACAATAATTAAATGAATTAATTAATGATTGGGGTGGACCCGGAAGTTTGAAAATAAAGTTCTTAGAAAAATTATTTTAATAATAGATCTCTCAACATGTCATTAAATTCGTTTTGACTGTCTGATTCCGGAAACACAACCGGATCTCAATTCGGACCCATTCGGGGGAAAAATTGTGTACTGTTTGGGTCAGATTCTACACAACAGAGTAGAGTTTAGGGAGATAACTCCCCATTTAATTCCACCTCAATACTCACGCCACACACCCTTTCCTCTCCCATAACCCCCCCCCCACTCAATACCACTTTTAATACCCCATTATTCCTCCATCAATTCTTTTAAATATAAATTCCTCTTCCCCTTCATTTCTCTCATCATGTGTAACCTCCCCAAACCATAACACCCATCTCTTCCCTTTCCCTTGCATTTTCAGTCAGGTCATAGCAGCTCCAAAAGGTTTTCCGGCAAGTAGATGGGGAGGTAGAAGAGGAGAGGTTCACACGAGAAG